GAAATCGCTGAAGGTTTGAGGGTGGGTGGTTTGGGGCAGTGTTGGTGGTGCTGGCAAATTGTCAGGTCCGTGGGTGGTGCCGATTCGAAACTTCATCGGTGGATGAAAAGATATGTCGTCGGCGACAAAAGGTGGTAAAGAGGCAGCGGAGATGAAGGTTAGTGACAGTAACATTCACTGGGCTTTAGGGAAGGCGGGGGAAGATCGGGTACATGTGGTTGGGGGACTTTTTGTTGGAATTTATGATGGGTTTAATAGCCCTTATGCCCCTGAATTCTTGATGGGTAATCTTTACAAAGATTTTTATAATGAATTAGAGGGTCTTTTATGGGACAATGAAAATAACACTCCTCAAGAATTACAAAATTTAACTTCTGAAAACACATTAATTGCAGAGAATTCAAATCGATTAGTACAAAGTACTAGTCAAGAGATTGGTATGATAGAGGATCGATAAAGGTGACATTTCAATTTGAAGGTATTGAGATCAGAAGGAGGAGATTGTGGGAATTTTTAGCAGAGGATGACCCAGAGGTTGACCCCGAAAGATCAGCATTAACCAGACGGGTTGTTGATTAAGAAAAAGGATAATAAGAAATTGTTTCCATGGAGATTTGGATTGGAAGGGGAAGAGAAACCAAAAGTGGAGGAAAATAGAGTGGAGGAAGAGAGGAATAGAGGAATAGAGGAAGTGGGAACAGGCGGAAGGTGGGACAGATTGATCATGGGTTGGTTCTAAGGGCAATGCCNGTGGGAACAGGCGGAAGGTGGGACCGATTGATCATGGGTTGGTTCTAAGGGCAATGCCGAGGGCTCTGGAAATAACTGAGCTTGCATATTTGGATATGACAGAGAAGGTTCTTGATCGTTATCCAAAGCTTGCACTCATGGGTTCTTGAAGCCAGGGATGGGAAAGAGAGAGGAAGGGAGGGGGAAGCGACCATGCCACGAAAGAGCAATGAAGTTGGGTTTTTGTGAGCATTGTTCTGGTTTTTCTGAAAGAGCAATGACATTGAGATCTTATTTGCTGACCTAATTCCCTATGACTTTTAAATTGACTGTGAATCTAATTTGAATTGATTGTGGACATTAAACATTAAAATTTGGTGTTGATTCAATAGTTTCACCAAAGCCACATAACAAGTCAATTTTTAAGTTCAAATAACCTTACTCTTTCCGAAATAGTTGTAGTTGTAAAAGTTGTAATTGGCATTACTAAAAGAGTGCAGTCATTTGTACTTGCTTTTCGTACTCCATTTCATTTTTGTTTTTTTTGTGATATTCAGGTGATTATTTGTCTTTTTTGTGAGTGAATATTTGTCTCTTTTGCGACCTTTAGGTAACACTTTGTCCCTTTATTCATGTATATAAATTTTACTATGTGAAAATTTTGTTGAACATAATGCATGTTTAAATTTTAGAAAGTTTAATTGTTTTTAAATTGTATAGCACAATCAAGATATTTTTAGTGAAGTATAAATGTTAATATCTATAATATATTTATTCATGTATATAATGTTAGAACCATTTAACAGTTTCTTTTTATTTAGAGAATATTTTTTCGGTGATATGATTTTTTGAGTTGTCTAGTTTCGGATATATCAAGAATGGATATATATATCTTTATTTTAGTTAGTGTTTCTCCATCTAATTAGTTAAAAAAAAAATATAGTTTCGTAGGTACATTAATTGAAATGGATAAGAGTTGGATAATAGTTAGGAAAAGATCGAGTAAACAATAAATTGATGGGGTGAAGTCGTTTATTAGATTTGCAATGCCACGAACGGGAAAGGGATTATGGCATACTGAAGAGACTGTAGAAATTCATTTTTGCTGGAAAGGGATTATGGCTTCTTACACGNAAACAATAAATTGATGGGGTGAAGTCGTTTATTAGATTTGCAATGCCACGAACGGGAAAGGGATTATGGCATACTGAAGAGACTGTAGAAATTCATTTTTGCTGGAAAGGGATTATGGCTTCTTACACGGTGTGGGTACACCATGGGGTCCCTGTCCCTTCAAATGAACACAATGAGGATAATAACATCGGTGAAACTCTCCAAGACGACACAACAAACTCTAAAGCTGATGATCATGATGAATTACCTAATATGTTAGAAGATGTNATGAGGATAATAACATCGGTGAAACTCTCCAAGATGACACAACAAACTCTGAAGCTGATGATCATGATGAATTACCTAATATCTTAGAAGATATGGGTATGGGGGCTTTCATGGATACTGTCTGGGGGGAATCGGATTTTGGTGAAACTGGTGATTGTGGTGATAAAGAGGATGTGAAGAAGTTTGAAAAATTAGTGCAGGATGCTCAACGTGAGGTATATCCGGGATGCACAAAATTTACACTGCTATCAACAGNGCAGGATGCTCAACGTGAGGTATATCCGGGATGCACAAAATTTACTCTGCTATCAACAGTTGTCAAATTACTTCATGTGAAGGTGTTGAACAAGTGGAGTAATAAGTCATTCAACATGTTATTGGAGATATTGAAGGTTCTTCTCCCTAAAGGTAACTTACTTCCAAATTCCATTTATGATGCTAAGAAGTTCTTACGAGCTTTGGGATTGGGATATGTTCCCGTTCATGCATGCAAGTATGATTGTACATTATTTTGGAAAGAGAATGAAAATCGAAAACATTGTCCAGAATGTGGAGAATCTAGATATAGGGTCAATGATGGCAAGGGTAAGAAGATTCCTCATAAGATCCTGCGTTATTTTCCATTGAAACCAAGGTTACAGAGGTTATACATGTCAAGGAAGACTGCAACAGATATGAGATGGCACAAGGATAAACGTGTAGTTGATGAGAATGGGTCAATGCATCCTGCCGATGCTGTAGAATGGAAGGAATTTGATTTAAAATATCCTGTCTTCGCTTGAGATCCATGNTGGGTCAATGCATCCTGCCGATGCTGTAGAATGGAAGGAATTTGATTTAAAATATCTTGTCTTCGCTTGAGATCTATGTAATGTTAGATTAGGGTTAGCCACCGATGATTTTAACCCTTTTGGAAACATGAGCAACACATTTAGCGTATGGCCTGTCATACTTATGTCTTATAATTTGCCTCCATGGAAATGTATGAAACATCCATATTTTATGATGTCATTGCTTATTCCCGGTCCGCAATCATCTGGGAAAGATATTGATGTCTATATTCGGCCATTAATCGATGAGTTGAAAGAACTGTGGGAAGTTGGGGTAGTAACTTATGATGCATATAGCAAAGATACTTTTCGAATGCATGCAGCCGTTATGTGGACCATTAATGACTTTCCTGCTTATGGTTGCATGTTTGGGTGGAGTACAAAGGGTTATATGGCATGTCCAGTTTGTAACTACGATACATTAGCACAGCNGTTGGGGTAGTAACTTATGATGCATATAGCAAAGATACTTTTCGAATGCATGTAGCCGTTATGTGGACCATTAATGACTTTCCTGCTTATGGTTACATGTCTGGGTGGAGTACAAAGGGTTATATGGCATGTCCAGTTTGTAACTACGATACATTAGCACAGCCATTGAGAAGTAAAATATGTTACATGGGACATCGTCGTTACTTGCCTCAAGACCATACATGGCGTCGGAGTAAGTTGTTTGACGGTAAGTATGAGAAGCGGTCGAAGCCGTTAGAACTATTTGGGGATGAGATTTTGGAACAACTACAATCATTGACAAATGTCAAGTTTGGGAAACATCCAAGCAACAGGAAAAGAAAACGCACATCTGAGGAACTTAATTGGACAAAGAAAAGCATTTTCTTTGAGTTACTATGCTGGGTAACACTAAACCTCAGACACAACCTTGATGTCATGCATATAGAGAAAAATATATGTGACAATATTCTTGGAACATTGCTTAGTATTGATGGAAAGAATAAAGATACTGAAAAGGCCCGTTTAGATTTGGAGGATTTGAATATAAGGAACGAATTGCACCTCCAGAAGCGAGATGATTCTTATGTGAAACCTCCAGCATGGTACACATTGTCCCCAAAGGAGAGACATGGTTTTTGTGAGTTCCTAAAATCAGTTAAGTATCCTGATGGTTATGCAGCAAATATCTCAAGATCTGTAAGTACTAAGGATGGAAAAGTTTCAGGATTGAAAAGTCATGATTGTCATGTTCTCCTACAGTGGCTCATTCCGATTGGAATACGTGGATATCTTGACAAAGAAATCTATACTGCTTTGTTTGAGTTAGGCAATTTTTTTCAACAACTTTGTTCGAAAACATTGAGGGTTAAAGACTTGAAGATATCCCATAATCGAATAGCANTTACTTGCCTCAAGACCATACATGGCGTCGGAGTAAGTTGTTTGACGGTAAGTATAAGAAGTGGTCGAAGCCGTTAGAACTATTTGGGGATGAGATTTTGGAACAACTACAATCATTGACAAATGTCAAGTTTGGGAAGCATCCAAGCAACAGGAAAAGAAAACGCACATCTGAGGAACTTAATTGGACAAAGAAAAGCATTTTCTTTGAGTTACCATGCTGGGTAACACTAAACCTCAGACACAACCTTGATGTCATGCATATAGAGAAAAATATATGTGACAATATTGTTGGAACATTGCTTAGTATTGATGGAAAGAATAAGGATACTGAAAAGGCCCGTTTAGATTTGGAGGATTTGAATATAAGGAACGAATTGCACCTCCAGAAGCGAGGTGATTCTTATGTGAAACCTCCAGCATGGTACACATTGTCCCCAAAGGAGAGACATGGTTTTTGTGAGTTCCTAAAATCAGTTAAGTATCCTGATGGTTATGCAGCAAATATCTCAAGATCTGTAAGTACTAAGGATGGAAAAGTTTCAGGATTGAAAAGTCATGATTGTCATGTTCTCCTACAGCGGCTCATTCCGATTGGAATACGTGGATATCTTGACAAAGAAATCTATACTGCTTTGTTTGAGTTAGGTAATTTTTTTCAACAAGTTTGTTCGAAAACATTGAGGGTTAAAGACTTGAAGATATCCCATAATCGAATAGCATTAATACTTTGCAAGTTAGAAAAGATTTTTCCACCAGCATTCTTTGATGTTATGGTCCATCTAGCTGTGCACTTGCCTCGGGAGGCAATTCTTGCTAGACCTATACATTACCGTTGGATGTACCCGATTGAAAGGTAAAAATCCTTTTGATATCAATACATGTATTGTTGACTTAAATCTGATTGTACTTGTATTGTATAAAGGTACCTTGGCACTTTGAAGAAGTATGTTGGTAATCGAGCTCATCCTGAAGGTTCTATCGCAGAAGCTTATATTGTGAACGAGTGTTTGACTTTTTGCTCACTATATCTAAATGGGATGGAAACTGTATTTAATCATGAGGAAGGAAATAACGATGGTGGTGAACGTAGTCCGAGGCTCGTGGTGTTTTCACAAAATGTTCGTCCCTTCGGAACAATAACAAATACAACTGAGGTGTCACAGAAGGAGCGTGATATGGCTCATTGGTTTGTTTTGCATAACAGCTCTGAGATAGATTCGCATATGGAGTAAGTTGACTTTTTGAATATGTGAATGCATGCTTTTAATTTTTTTTAAATGATTTAAAATCACTTTTTTTTGTAAGTAGAGAGCACAAAAACCTATTGCGAGAGCAAAATGAACAAGACATTCATAAAAGGCATCAGCAAGAATTTTCTAAGTGGTTCAAAAAATGAGTAAGTAATATTTTATGAAATACTAAGTGCAGTCCATTGTTTGATTTAGTTGTTAAATGATCATTTTTTTTCCTTATGGTCTCTTTGTAGATCAATCAATTGCGATCTGAAGGTTCAATTGAAACTACTGATGAATTATGGTCATTAGCAAATGGTCCTGATTTTACAGTTAGAATGTATTCGGGTT